TCTTCTCCTAGTATAACTTCAAATTCAAAATAAGAATATATAATATGTTGGAGTGAAAATGATAGAATTAAATATTAACTTTTTGGTAGTGATTTGACTCAATAAGGTTCTATTTTAGAAGCAGAATCATTAAATACAAAAACAGATAATCCAGATATAACAGCATTTTCAAGTGGTTTTGCAATCGTTTGGTAAAATTCGGATTTATACTCAACCAGATAAAGAAAATTAAGATTATAAATTTTTGATACAAATGGAGTATCAAAAGGTCCTTCTATAGAAGTAAATACAATAACAATTAACACAGAATACCCATAAATATCAACTTTAAGTAATGATAAATTTGCTGTCATTTGGGATGGATAAAAATAACAAAGCGATGAAAAAAAAGGAATATTTATGATGAAATTTGGATCAGATGGTTCTAAAGAATTAATAGATGGAATTGTATGCCCAAATAAATGTAAGAGTTGTTCTTCAACAACAACATGCATTACATGCTCTAATTAATATAAATTATCTGATGGACTTTGTTAACCAGAATGTCCATCTAATTGTAGCTAATGTTCAATACCTGATTTCTGTGATCTATGTTAAGATGGATTCATACTTGATCCATCAGGATTATGTTCAGCTATTACATCAAATCTATTACCTGAAGATCCTTTATTAGCAACTCCATTTGATGAATTACCTAGTTTTTCATCAACTACAACAATTGGTCAAAGTGACGTTTTAGTATATTCAGGAACAGTCACTTTTGAGAATGATTCTTATTTATTAAAGGTGAATCTATAATTGATTGCAGGTGCAAATCAACATGAATTTTCATACTCAATAAAATTAGTATCTTTAAAATCTTAAGTTATGTAATCTGACGTATTAATCAGAGAAGATAATTCAATCTAAATATATTGGGTAGAACTTATAGAAAAAGAAACTTTATTAATAAAATTGATAACAATTAGTTATGAATTAGTAATAGTAGAATATGAAAAATAAATTGATAGTATTCCTTATACTTAATATAAACGAGATTCACATGAAGATTTTGTTACTTATCTATTTTATCAAAATAGCAAATATTATGTTATATTTTCACATTATTCAGAATTGTTGAAATATGAAGTTTACTAATACAGAATAAGTTATGATTACAAAAGAGTAACTAATCCTGAAAGAATATTGGAAATTCAAAGATAAATAAGATTTGGGCAAATTTGCTTTAGTTAGGATTAGATTGTTATTATAGAAATTAATTAATATTACCTGTTGAGATCACATTCATATAGTATAGATTTCACCAATGTTATAATAACAGAAAACTAATTAACTATGTCGGTAATTATTTATGTGTAATCATTTACAATAAAGAGACTTTATAATAGTAATTTTGTAATTTCTTGGAAGACAGGATCAACTTAATCATAAAGTTCAAAGAATCAAATCTATTGTACAATCTTAGAGAATAATCTCTGGAGATTTACAGATTACTAATTGGTAGCAAATTCAAATGGAATGCTAGAGAATCCTTAGATTATAGTATTGGAAAGTAGATTTGCAATAATCTGGAATAATTTCATTTCAATTAAATATTCTTAATTAAGTATTTCATTTTATGAGGAATCAGGAATTTTCAGTATCAGAGACAAAACAAGTGAATACAATTAGTAATAACATAAAATATTACTTTGCTAAAGTGATCAATAGAAATTAGATAGCAATAAATTGGATGGCATCTTATACAACAATAAGCTTATCAATAAAATATTAATATTATTATTTGAGAATTTCAGATTAGAATGAATTATTACCTTCTCCTAATTTGATTTGTATGAAAGAATGTGGTTCATGTTAAAATGAATATACATGTTAAAGTTGTATAACAGATTATGCATTGAATCCTACGACTTTTAAATGTGAAGCATAATGTCCATAAACATGTTTGAAATGCAGTTCTCCAACAATATGTTCAGTATGTAAGGAAGGTTATAAATTGTCAGATAAAAACTAATGTGAGAAGAATATATGTAAAGAAAATTGTTTATTGTGTAATGAATTTGGAGAGTGTTTAAAATGTTCTAAAAATTTCTATGTAAGTTCATAACATATGACTGATTGTATTGGAACATGTGGACCAAATTGTACAGTATGTACATCTCCACCAGTTTGTAGCTAATGCTAAGATTCTTACTATTGGAGTGAAAACAAAACTGAATGTGTTTTATTTGAAGAAGTGATTATAGAGAAAACTATATCTGATCCATTAATTGCAACATTCCCTAATGGAGATTATATTGCAGTATGGTCTGAAGAAGGTCTAGATGCGGGTGTATATTTCTAAATTTACAGAAAGAATGGTTAAAAAGTAGGATCAAAAACAAAAGTAAATATGGATGAATTAGGAATGAGAAGGTTATTATAATCTGTAAATTCAAACAATGTTAAAACTCTCTTTTCAGACGTAGCAACATTTGATTAAGACTTTGTTATTTTATGGGTGGATTAGATTGTTGGAGACATGAAAGTTAAACTAAAAAAATTTGATACCAATGGTTAAGCTATGGGCAAAGAAGTATAAATTGCTTAGATACCAAAATAAGATTTAAATAGTATTGCAGCTCCATGTATTATTAAAAAGACCACAAATAATAATTTTGTTATTGGTTTCTTCAATTAAGTTGAATAATCTATAAATAAGACTGCTACTATGTTTTTATAATCATTTAACTAGACTATGTAACCTATTGGATAAATACAAATGTTAGATAATGCTGATATAACTAAACCACCTATGATATCTAGTGATGAAGATGGTGTTATTTCTATTACATTTTCAAGTGAAGGGGCTACCTTCTTAGCTCAAATTTCAACT